TCTGGCAGGGATGGAGGGAGAAAGAGGAGTTGCTCAGTGGATATGGAAATACCATTCCTGCTGGGAAGAGCAGGGCTGGGCACAGGGGGGACTCCCCCAGCAAGTGCCCCCAGCTATCCCCCCTGCACAGCCCTGGCCCCTGCCTGGCTGATGCCCTGCTCTGGGGGCAGGAGAGGATGCTCTTGTTCCCATCCTGGGCAGGACACAGGGCTGGACACAGCTCTGGTTTAAGCAGATGGGGCCAGCAGTGCCCAGAAAGGGACCAAACCCCCGGCACCCACCCTAAGAGCCAGTTACTGGGTCCTGGCTGGGCACTGCCAAGCCCTACCATCTCCCAGGCTCTCCTCCTTACTACCTCCTTACTCTGATCATCCTCCTTACAGTGGAGCAGAGGTGCATCTCCATAGTTAGAGGAACCTTCCCACCCGTGGGAGACGTGGGCAAGTCTCAGCCCAGTTCCTCTGCACGGTAACATCCACAGGGCAAGATTTTGGGAGTGTTAGGAATGAGCACCTGGCTGCCACAGAAAGCAGCAACAGCCCAGGCAGTGCTCCAAGGATGCTGCACTGTCCCATCTCAGCCACCACGGCAGTTTTGGGGTGAGGAGGAGGGCTGGGGCTGGCACAGCACATCCAGATGTTGGGCACTGTGGGAGCACAAGGTGTTATCACATCAGGAGACAAATATCAGGAAACCCCTAGGAGAACACAGAGTGAGAGTACCAAAAAATATAAATATCATTTTTTGGGGCTGCAAACTGCAAACCTGTCAGACTCTGTCCACATCGTCACCCCGGGGAGCCCAGCACAGCCCTGCCAATTTGGTGCCACTTTAGTCCATCGACAGCTCTGGCTCAGCAAAGCCAGACTCAGGGCACACACCCTGCTCAGCAAAACCCAGGTGCTCAGTGTCAGGTAAAGCAAACCCTACTCAGCTTTGTCTCCAAACCACCCACACTTCACCCTAAGCATGGCCAGGAGTCACCTTGGCATCTCCAAGGTCCAGTTTTAGTCACTTAAACCACAATTTTTTTCCAAAAAACCCCCAGAAGTGAGAAGAGCTTGCACAAGAGGGTTGGGAAACACCAGGAGTGTGGGTTTCAAGCAACCAGGTCTTGCTTCTGATGCCTCGTGTGGATGGTGGCGTTAAAAAAAATGATGCTGGGGAAAAAAAAAAAAAAGGGCAAATCCTACAGCTAAAAAGGAAATTGCATTAATACAGATTGTTTTATTTAAAAAAAGCAAACCCTGACCTCTACTTCAAAAAAGTCATTAGACATTCTCCTTCTGAAAGGCCGACAGGGGATATTACTGAAAGGCCAGTTAATTTCTCAATGACTTACTGTTCTTGCTCTGCTCATGGAAATGTGTAAAGAGTT